GTACAGTATAGCCCTTGGTTTATGCACACCACCTTCCAAATAGCTGCTATTCAGCAGTAAGTATATAGGGTGTAAAAAGTCGAAAGGAAAAACAGACCCGTGGCATGGGCCACCAAAGCCAAACAGGTGAAAAAAAAACTGAATGAAAAGCAGTCTGCTGGCCATCCAGGTTGAAATAAGTACACAATAAATATCCTATTATTTATGTAAATGTAAATTATGGAAACACAGCCCTGTCCCTAAGTGAAGTCTGATCACGCGGAAAAGATTCTGGTTCAGAGTAGTAGTATATCAGCTTGCAGTTCTAACCCCCAGCTGTTGTAGGAGGAGAAAAAAAGAAGGCACACAAGACAACTCAGTGGGTGCATCTATACAAGCCATCTATTGCGCAGTTAATTAATTAGCTGAGCAGTAAACGTCTCAGCATCTACAAGTACACTTGTATTAGGCTAGAGTAAACTAATTTACTCTGCAGCAGGGTAGTACTTGTAAATACAAGTACTATTCAGCTGCAGAGAAAAAACTCTGCAGCAGCACACGTATAGACACTGCCTAGGTGGCTGGGGCATAAGGCTGCTTCATTGCAGGGGCTGCCTGCCAGCTAACCCTGCACTAAAGCTCCCTTGGGCTCTATCCAGCCCCCCTGCAGCATGTTGAGCCAGGGGAGGAGTCCTGTGTGTGCGGGCCACCTCCCGATCCCGTCCATGTCGCCATGTGCGAGCCGGGAGCAATATGCGGACCCGTCTTTGCACACACGGGCTGTGGCCAGCAGCCCAGGCACGCAGGGTCAGAAGAAACCGTGTGGTGGCAAGGCACGCACGGGCTAGAATTAGTCACAGAGGCGTAGTGGTTGATTCAAAGATTATTTACTTACACCCAAGATGGTCGCGGTGTAGGCTGGACAGTTTCCCAGGTACAGCTCCGCTTAAATCCTCGTTGGAGGACTACGACAAACTTGGTTCTTGGGCCCCGGAGTTGTTAAGGCTCCGCGGGTTCAGCAATTCTTTCCCACGGAGTTGTCAAAGCTCCGTGGGCTCTATTCGGTTCTCAGGCCCCGGAGTTGTTAAGACTCCGTGGGTTCGAAAATTGAGTATATAGGATAGGGATACATCTAGGATTGCGCTCGGCGACGGGGAGAGGCCAGAGGCTGGTTTAAACGCTGTTTCCCTCTTA